TTCTTTCATTTCCTTTTCTTTGAAATAGTTCATTCTAGCCTTGAACTCACAATCCTCCTGCCTCAGCCTCCCAAGTGCTGGGATTACAGTTGTATGCCACTGGGCCCAGCCCAAGATGTTTCTTCAATGAGCAGAAACCCCTGGTCCTTCCCACACTCCCTGCCACTCCACAGTAAGAGTTGCTGGGATGACACTAGCCATGACAGAAAAGGGTCATCAAGAAAGATTCAAATCTGGGCATCATGACACTTGAGAAGCTGAGGCAGGAGGGTTGCTGCAAGTTTGAGAGTGGCCAAGACTACAGAGTAAGACCCTGTCTTGGTTTAAAAAAATAGAAAAGGGGCTAGAAAGATAGCTCAGTGGATTAGAACACCGACTGTTCTTGCAGAAGACCCAGGTTCAAATCCCAGCACCCACAGCTTACAACTGTCTGTAACTCCAGTTCCAGGGGATCCCACAGTCTCTTTTGACCTCTGCAGACATGGCACGACATGGGTGCACTTACCTACATGCAGGTAATTACATGCATACACATAATAAAATAATAAATAATTTTTTTAAAAAAATAGAAAAAGCTGGGCGTGGTAATCCCAGCACTCGGGAGGCAGAGGCAGGTGGATCTCTGTGAGTTCAAGGCCAACCTGGTCTACATAGTGAGTTTCAGGACATCTGGGGCTACAGGGAGACCCTGTCTCAAAAAGACCAAAAAAAAAAAAATAGAAAGAAAGAAAAAAGAAAAGAAAAAACACACACAAAAAAGAAAAAAATGAGCCGGGGGTAGTGGCGCATGCCTTTAATCCCAGCACTCTAGAGGCAGAGGCAGGCGATCTCTGTGAGTTCCAGGCCAGCCTGGTCTCCGTAGTGAATCCAGGACAGCTGGGGCTACAGGGGGAGACCCTATCTCAAAAAGACCAAAAAAAAAAAAAAAAAAAAAAAAAGAGTTCCCACCCATCCTGTGTGGCCCAGAGCCAATTAGGCCAGCAAGTACTACCAGCCTGTCCCCTGCCCCAAGGCAGCATTTCCTCCAGCACTGACTGCTCTTGCAGAGGACCCAGGTTTGATTCCCAGCACCCACATGGTGGCTACAAACCATCCTTACCTCCAGTTCCAGGGGAATCCGAAGCCCTTTTCCGATGTCTGTGGCATTGCACAACATGGGTTGCATGCACATACATGCAGGCAATACACTCATACACATAAAATAAAATAATAAAATATTTTTTTAAAAAAGCATCTTGGCTTTTAAAAAAAAGTGATGCTACCCACCAAATTCTTTCACATTTTCATAATGGTTGCTCTTTCAAAAAGAAACAAAATCTTTGAGTCACTGTTGACCTGTATTTCTATCAATGTTACAGCACCTTTGAAGTTTCAGCATTTTGTGTTCAAATTGCACTAGGAAACACATTCATGAGTTTTATGTCAGAGCCCCTGGGCCGTCAGGGAGCCGGAGCATGGGGTTCTTCTGACCCTCCTGTATAGGCTTAGCCTGGGGGGATGCTCCCCACTACATCCTCAGGTTCGTGGAGGTTGACACGATGACTCTGCTTGTGCCTGGCATGATTTATCCATTTGGCTGAGGCCACTTGCCTTTGGCCCAGCTAGAACAGAAGAGGGGCCTCTTAGGGACTTCTGACCCTGTTCCTTTTAAAGAGGGGCACAGTGAGTATAAGGCAGAGTTTGAGGGAGAGGTGGGCTTGGAGAAACAGGATTTTTGTTGTGGTTTGCTTTTATAGATAGAACCTGGAACTCTTGGCAATCCTCCTGCCTTCTTCAGTGCTGGGATTAAGAGTGAGCCACTACACCTGACTCAAAGATTTTGTTGTTTGGAGTCTTTTTGTCATTATTGTTTCCTTCCTTCCTTCCCTCCTTCCTTCCCTCCTTCCTTCCTTCCTTCCCTCCTTCCTTCCCTCCTTCCTTCCTTCCCTCCTTTTCTTCCTTCCTTCCTCTCTCTCTCTCTTTCTCTCTCTCTCTCTTTCTTTCTTTCTTTCTTCTTTCTTTCTTTCTTCTTTCTTTCTTTCTTTCTTTCTTTCTTTCTTTCTTTCTTTCTTTCTTTCTTTCTTTCAGGAGACAAGGTCTCAAGTATCCCAGACTGGCCTCAAACTTGCTATGTAACTGAAGATGACTTTGAACTTCTGATCTTCCTGACTCTACCTCCCCAGTCCTGGGATTGCAGGTGTGTGCCACCATACCCAACTTATGCACTACTGGGGCTCAAACCTAGGGCTCCATGCATGCTAGGTAAGCTCTCTACCAACTGAGCTACACCTTTCTCCTTGGCCATATGACCTTTACCACCTTTAAAAGCTGCAACCATCCTCAGCACCACATGGGGATCTTCCCCCAGAAAGCAGATGAGGTCCCCACAGTGGCTGTGCTTCACTGAGTTGTCTGGGGAATCCACCCCAACATACATACATTGACCATTCATAATCCCTGGGATGGGTGGGGGTCTGGTCCTGCACAAAGAAGCAAACCATTCCCTCCCTTCCCTCTTTTGATGAAGACCACCTCTAACTAGGTCAGGTGGTAACACTCTCCCTCCACGCAGCTTCCTGTCCTCGTTGGCTTTTCTCAGTCTTCTCTGCTTCTGAATATTTGGCAAAGACGTCTGCACAATGGTAGTCTGTCAGGGCCAGCCAGGCACAGCTTGCATTTTGGCAAAAGGATGAGTTGAGATGAATCTCCCCTGAGAAAGGGAAGGTGGTGGCCCTGTCCTTGAGACAGTTTGGCCATATAGGCCTAGAGCCTGAGCCATCTTCATACCTCCTGCTCTTCTGACTCCCCTCCCGGGGATGGGCAGACAAAATAGAATACACTATGGAAATAGCTTTACTGCCAAGGAGGATATTGGTAATACTGTTTAAAACAGCAGAAACCTGGAGAGAACCTAACTTTTTAAAGTAAGGAACTGGTTAAGAAAACAGTTATGTATCCACTTAACATGACAATGTACAATGTAGCTACTTGGACAATTATTATTTTTAAAAATATTTTATTTGTGCCAGGTATGGTGGCACACGCCTGTAGTTCCAGCACTTGGGAGGCAGAGGCAGGCAGATCTCTGTGAGTTCAAGGCCAGCGTGGTCTACATAGTGAGTTCCAGGACATCTGGGGCTACAGGGAGACCCTGCTTCAAAAAGACAAAAAATATAAATTTTTTTTTTGTTATTTTTTTATGTGTATGAGTGTATTACCTGCATGCATGTAAGTGCACCTGTGTCGTGCAATGTCCACAGAGGTCAGAAAAGGGTGTCAGATCCCCTAGAACTGAAGTTATGGACAGTTGTTAGCTGCCATGTGGGTGTTGGGAATCAAACCTGAGTCCTCTGCAAGAGCAGCCGGTGCTCTTAACCACTGGGCCATCTCTCCAGCACTGACAATTTTTTTTTTTTTTGTCTCTTTGAGATAGGGTCTCCCTGCAGCCCCAGCTGTCCTGGAACTCACTATGTAGACCAGGCTGGCCTTGATCTCACAGAGATCCACCTGCCTCTGCCTCCTAAGTGCTGGGATTAAAGGCATGCACCACCATACCCAACCTGACAATTATTTTTAAGAAGGTACCAGAAAGTTCTTATAAAGCCATGCCACAGGATAGAAATATGCCTCAGGGGTTAAGAGTATTGCTCTGCCAGAGGATCAGAATTCAGTTCCCAGCACCCACATCAGGCAACTCACAACTGCCTGTAACTCCAGTTCCTGGAGATTCAACACCCTCTTCTGGCCTCTACAGGCATTGCACACACATGATGAGTATACATACCTGCAGGCAAACGACACAGGTGCACTTACATACACGCAGGTAAAACACTCATACACATAAAATAAATAAATAAATAAATAAATAGATAAATAAATTGTTTTAAAGGGCCGGCCGTGGTGGCACACGCCTTTAATCACAGCATTTGGGAGGCAGAGGCAGGCTGATCTCTGTGAGTTCAAGGCTAGCCTGGTCTACATAGTGAGTTCCAGGACAGCTGGGGCTACAGGGAGACCCTGTCTCAAAAAGATCTCCCCAAAAAAATTGTTTTAAAAAGCTGTGCCACATAGGCTAGGATATAAAATGGCATATACCATATTATGACTTTCTCCATCCCTCTCCAAAAGCATAGAAAACAGCTGGGTGGAGGAGTTCAACAGTATTTGGAAGGTGGGACCAGAGGTCATTTTTAAATTTGCTGCTTTCTACTTTCCTGTTATTTTCAATTTTTCTCTACTAATTAAAAAAACAAAACAAAACTGTTCAAACTGTCAAATGAAGAGGGTGTAGCTCAGTTGGTAGAGTGCTTGCCTAGCATGCACTAGGCCCTGAGCGTGCTTGTCATCCCAGCACTGGGAGGTAGAGGCAGAGGGTCTGAAACTCAAGGTCATCCTTGACTCAAGGTCATTCTTGGCTATAGAGTGAGTTTGAAGCCAGCCTGAGCTACATGAGATCTTATCTCAAAAAAGGAAAACCAACAAACAAAAAAGTCAAATAAGATGCCAGGGACTCTATGTGCCTCTCAACTGGAAGATCCCTGAGAGCTCCTCCGGGGGCAGAGGAACGGCCTAAACCTGAGTGCCAAGCCAGCAGATCACCTGAGATCCCATTTGTACTGTTGTCCCTCCTTTGCTTGCAGTGTATTCGGATTGCTCACCACTATGTTGTCTTTTATTTCACAGATTTCATGGAAAACAGATATTCTGTAAGTACACGTTTCATATACATCATTTCACAGTGCTCCACGGAGCAAGTAGTGACTCATGGGAAAAGTCTCACACTGAAGCTGAAGCAGGGAGATTGTTGTCAGAGTTTGAGGCCATCCTGGGCTGCAGAGTGAGTTTCAGAATAGCCTGGGCTACAGAGTAAGACTTTTTAAAAAAAAAAAAAAAAAAGTGCCCCACAGAACAGTGAACTATTTCTCGACTCTCCCAGGGTCTGCTTTCCATTAATTCCCCCCACCACCAGATTCTAACGTGATCTGTTTGAGTCCAGGAGTCCAGGAGCCTTGGGCTCCTTTGACCAGTTTAAGCCAGCCCTAATAATGATTCTCTCCTCCTGTTTGCACCATTACAGCTCAGCCTATATAGGAAGACGGGCCCTGGAGTTTTCCCTTAAGGTTGGAAACCTAAGGAGCTTTTAACAGAGATAGAGCTGACAGGTATAGTGGTGTACTCCGGGAGCTAAGGAAAGAGAATCTTGAGTTCAAAGCCAGCTTAGGCTACACAGTAAGTCCCTGACAGGACAGAGAGAAAGAGAAAAGAGAGAGAACGACAAGAGAGAGAGAGAGAGATTGGTGCGAGGAAAGAGAAGGGCAGGAAGAGCTGGGGAGAGAGCTCAGTTGGTAAAGAGTTTGCACAAGGACCTGACTTCAATCAGTAGAACCCAAGTAAAAAATTCACACTTGCAACCCCAGCCCTGGGGAGGTAAGGCAGGTAGATGCCTGGGGCTCGCTGGCCGGCCAGCGTAATCTACCTGGCAAACTTCAGACCAATGAGAGACCTGTCTCAAAGAAAAGAGAAGAGTGGACGACTGCTAAGGAATGACACCCAAGACTGATATCTGGCCTCTACACACAGGAATACACACACACACACACACACACACACACACACACATTTATACACACAGTAACACACACACGCACACCCTTATATACACAGGAACACACACACATGCACACGCACACGCAGGAACACACACACTAAAAGAAAGGAGGGAGAGAGAGCGAGAGAGTCAAGTTCAATTAATGCAGAATTACCTCACACGGGCTCACTGTTCTCGGTCTGTCTGTCTGTGAGCTGCCCAGCAGAGCAGGAGTTAACAGGGAGCTATTATTTCAAAAATCAGGAACTTTCCTTCTAAACTGCTTTTTTTCAGGTCTGGGAGAAACTTTGAGCAACTTCTTCTGGCCCTTCAGAGGGCCCTGAACTTCCTTTGTTTTGCCAAAGTCTAAATTCTTGTAAAACAGAGCTCATTATGCCTTTGACAGACAGGAAGGCGCTGACATTCCTTTTATGGAGGAAAGCTATCAATCTAAGGAAAAGAGGAACAGCACGAACATCTTTTTCTAGCCTGCACTATCTAGACTCCTGAAATCACCATTGCATTGGAAGGGCAAGAGAGCCCAGCTTATAGACAGGGATACTGAGGGCTGGGTTGGCAGGACAGCTTGCCCAGACTAACCCAGAGACAGGAACACAACACAGGCCTCCAGGCACTCTGGCCAGTGCTCTGTCCGCAGCATTAAGTGAAGTTACTGGTCCAGAAATAATGGCCTGGAGAGAATAGAGAGTGGACTTTGCCCCCAGGGGATGTGGGACCCTGATAAAAACCAGTTCTCCAGGGGGGAGGGGAAGTGCATGCCTTTAATCCCAGCACTCAGGAGGTAGAGGCAGGTAGATCTCTGTAAGATTGAAGCCAGCCTGGTCTACATAGCAAGTTCTAGACTAGCCGGGACTACAGAGTGACCCTGCCTCAAAAAAAAAAAAAAAAAAAAAAAAAAAAAAAACAACCCAAAAAGCCTAGTTCTTGCTGCATACGTCTTTGGCCACCCAAGGCAGCGCTGCAGCCCAGGAGGGAGACATTGTGCAGAACTGACTTATTTATTTTGTCTTCCACCCAAAGGGTCTCTCAGGACAAAGGTTCTGAATGCTCAGGGAAAACTTTCCCTTTCCCCCAGAAGCTGCCCCACAGGCCCAAATTTTGCTCCCAAGGTGCTCCAAACACTCAGGCTGCTTCTACCCCCAAAATAATAAAGCTATTTGGCGGGAACCTGGAGGTTTCCAGCCGTTGAGAAACGAATTTTGAATCTTTAAGCAAAATGAATTTTGTTTATAAAAGAAGCAGGTACTGTTCCCTAATCATGAGCCATGTGGGTCAGGAGAAAATTAACTGAGCTGCCCAGCTGGGAAATGGGAGGAGACTTCCTTCCTGAAATCAAACCTGGCGATCATTCCCCTCTTGTTTAATGACCGTTTGCTTCTGAAAACATATTGGAGGAAATATCTTAACAATGAGACAGCCACTTAGCCAACTACTAATTTAGTATTGTTTGACTTGCTTCAATGGTACATTCTGACTTCATTTTTCCTCTGCCATTTTTACCTTGTTTATAAATTGTGTTTGTGGCCCACACAGACAGATAATGTGAAAGAGGATGCCCTGTACTTAAAGGGCTGAATTTGCACCAGTGAGGGGCTCCAGATTTTAGACAGAACCCTGACTTTAAAAAAAAAAAAAAAAAAAAAGGACATTGTGGACAGTTTAGCTCTCTTCCCTCCTTCCCTGGCAGCCAGCAGGGAGCTGGGCTGTGATAGAACCTGTCCAGGAGTGGGGTTCAGGATGCTGGAGCATGGGTTCTAGTTCTGTGGTCTTCTTGAAGCTGACTTGTCTTCCTCAAACCTAAGCATCTCCATCTATAAAGTAGATATGGTGACAGCTGATGAGGATAATGCCGATGACAGTGATGTGTGATGGTGATGGTAGTGATGATAATGATGAAAGATGATGGTGACAGCAACAATAGCATCTGCCTAATAGGATTTTCCTGTCTTTTTTTGAGACAAGGTCTCCCTGTAGTCCCAGCTGGCCTGGAACTTGCTATGTAGACCAGGCTGGCCTCAAGCTCACAAAGATCTGCCTCTGCCTCCTGAGTGCTGAGATTAAAAGTGACTGCCACTACACCTGGCTATGACTGAGAATTTCCTTAAGGGCTAAATGAGAAAATTTGCAATCCCCAAATCACTACATAAAGGCTAATTGATTATCTTTTTAAAAATATTTTATTTTTAATTTTATTATTTTTATTTTACGTGCATGAGTGTATTGCCTGCATATATGTAAATGTACCTGTGTCATGCAATGCTTGTGGAGGTCAGAATACGGCGCTCTTAACCGTTGAGACATCTCTCCAGCCCTATCATTTTTACTTTACGTGTATGAGTGTTTTGCCTGCATGTATGTAAGTGCACCTGTGTCATGTAATGCCTATGGAGGTCAGAAGAGGGTGTCCAATCCCCTAGAACTGGAGATACAGACGTTATTAGCCTCCATGTTGATGCTGGGAACCAAACCCAAGTTCTCTGCAAGAGCAACCAGTGCTCTTAACCACTGAGCCATCATCCCTCCAGCCCTAGAGGACAACTTTTGAGAGTTGGTTCTCTCCTACTTGCTGTGAGTCCCAGGGACTGAACTCAGGTCTTCAGGCTTGAGCCATCTTGCTGGCCATGTTTCCTCATCTGTAAATTGGGCAATTACTCACCTAGTTGTTGAAGGTTTTAAGTGAGTACCTGGTAGATTGGAAATACTCATACCAGGTACTCTCTCTAGAAGTAGGAATTAGAAATCTTGGGATGGGAGGTATTGGAATCAAAAGGACCTTTGAGGGTGCTTTGCACCCAGAAGCAGGCAATTCCATAATTGAACCTGAGTGGCTGAGAGCAGGTCTCTGACTCAAATACAGCAAGCTGAGTCCTAGGCTGTATGTTAACTTTTACTTCAAAGTCCCCAAGGCCCTGTTGATGGCAGCCTAGCCCTTCCTGTCTGTGAGGTTGGTCCTATAGCAATGCCTGAGTCCTGTTTGCCCCCAGGAGAGGGAGAATGCAGGCGTCTAAGGAAGGACTTGGTCTGGGGCCCGCAGAAAGGCTGGACACTAGAATCACTCTCCCTCCTTTGGGGAAGTGGAGGAAGTGGCAAACAGTAGCTGCCAGCCCTGGCAAGCCTCCAGCCTGCTGGGGCCACATGGCTTTCTTGGCCCATTTGCCTTGGTCTGCCCTGGCAAAGGAGGAGACCCTAGTTGGACCCATCAGGCCTGCATCCTGTTCCAAAAGGTCTGGACCCAGCAAGGCCAAAACAAAGCAGACTATCTCAGCTCACCTTGAGGAAGCCAACCCGCCTGGCTGTGAGGTTCTCAAGGCAGCAGGCAACCTCTACATCTTTTGCTCCCACTTCCCTGAATTCTACTTGGGGGAAAGTGTTCTGTGCTCATGGAAGGTCCAAAACAGTGGGCCCTGATGCTTCCTGTTCTTCCAGGTTCTGGAACTATGTAGTTGAGGATGACCTTGAACTCTTGATACTCCTCAAAGCTGTAATTACAAGTATGTGCCACCATGACCTACCACTTTAAAAAAAAAAGTTATTGTAGTAAAACATACACAACCTAAAATTTACCGCTGTATCATTTTAGAGCGCATCATTCACAGCTGGGGTTGTAGTTTATTGGTGGGGCACTTGCCCAGCACCGAAAAAAAAAACAAACATGAATTCAGTTGCATGAGTCCTATCGTATTATTGTGTAACTATCACAATTCTTTAGCACTTCTTAAACTTTTATCACATTTATTTATTTGTGTGTCTGTCTGTCTGTCTGTGGCAGGTGCTTACATAACATGGCATACATGTGATGGACAGAGGGGAATTAGTTCTCCCCTTCAATCATGTTGGTCCTTGGTATCAAATTCAGGTCATCAAGCTTGACAGCAAGTGCTTTTACCTAATGAGCCATTACAAGAGCCCCCTAAGAGGGTGTCGGGTGCTGTCTATCACTCTCAGTCTAATTCTTTGAGGCAAAGTCTCTCCCCGAACCTGGGGTGTGAATTGCCTCAGCTAGGCTGAAAGCCAGCCAGCCCCAGGAATCCTTCTGTCTCTGCCCCACTCAGAGCTGGCATTGCTGCCACGTGTGGGACACCCAGCTTGTTATGTAGGTGCTAGGATCAGAATGTCAGTCCTTATAATTGTACAGGAAGTACTCTTTACTTCTGAGCCATCTCTCCAGCCTGTTTGTTGGGCTTTGGGGTTTGGTATTTTTAAACAGGATTTCACTTTATAACTCTGGCTGGACTGCCTCTGCCTCCCAAGTGCCGGAATTAAAGGCATATGTTACCACACCTGATTTTTTTTTTTGTCTTTAAGACAAATTCTTGCTATGTGAACCAGGCTACCTCCAACCTACATCAAACCTCATACCTCTGCTGCGATTACAGGCATGCATTACCACACCCAGCTAGCCAGAAATTTTTCATCATCCCAACCTGAAACTCACAACCATTAAATAATTCCTTAGCGTCCCTCCCCACCACTACCAACCTTTATTCCACCTTTTGTCTGTCCATTTGGCACACTTGACACACCATGGAAGTGAACTCATGGTGTTTGACCTTTTATGTATGTTCATTTTATTTAATATTCTTCTTTTAAGTTCATCTATGTTGAAATGTATCAGAGTTTTATTCCCTTTTAAAGAGAGAATTATATCATTGTAACACATTTAAATTTGATCATTTAGGTTCAGTCTTTTGTTTATGTATGTACATGCTGATTTACATTGAGACAGGATCTTTCTATGTAGCCATGGCTGAACTGGAACTTGATATGTGGATCAGGCCTGCTTCTGCCAACTGAGTGCTGGGATTAAAAGCATGTGTCACCACCACAGCCAGCCAATTTTTAAAATTAAAAAGAAGACCCAAGTTAGGCCTAGTGGTGTATCTCTATAATTCTGACACTGGGGAGGCTAAGCCAGCCTGGGCTACAGAATGAGACTCTGTCCCAAAAGCAAAAACAGCCAAGTATGGTGGTACATGCCTTTAATCCCAGCACTCAGGAGGCAGGGGCAGATGGATCTCTGTGAGATCTAGGCCAGCCTGATCTACATATCAAAACAAAAATAAAAACAACAAAAACAAAGAAGCATACTTGAAGAGGGCATGTCTCATATTAGCTAGAGGTGGAGTTGGAGCTAGATGCCAGATCGCTTGTAACCGATGGTTCCATTATCCCCATGCATAAGTATAGCACCTATGGGACACCACACTGGGTTTTTGATGAGGTTGCTTGGTAGACCGTACAGCAAGAACACACAGATAGGCCCGCCAGCCCCTATAACGCAGGCACAGAGATAAGGGAGGAATGGCTGAGAACAAGAGCTTCTCTGGAAGGTGGGAGTCTCAGGGGGAGATGGAAAAGCTTTGTAGTGCTTTTCTTTTGAGTCAAGGTCTCATGCATGAGTCCAGGTTGGCCTAGAACTCAACCTTGAACTTGTCCAAGTACTGAGATTACAGGCATGTACCACCACACCCAGTTATATGTGATGCTAAGGGTAGAGTCCAGGGCCTCCCTATGTCATGCTAGGCAAGCACTATAGCAACTAAGCCACATTGCCAGCCCCTGCATAGTTCTTTTACCCTGCACTGCCTCCATTTTACATATCTGTCTTCCAAAACAATCTTTGGTCCTGAGAGTATGACAGTAACTTGTACTATCTCTTGTCTTATAGAGAACGGAAGGCTCCCTTGATGGAACATAAGACAATGAAGGCAGGTGCACATCCCTGGGAGGACGTGTCCACGTCCCAGAGCAGATGATTCCCGGATTCCAAGAGCTCTGTGCACTTATTTATGAACTGATCCTACCCCCGCTGAACATAGCAATTTCTCAGGCCAAGTCATCAGTTCCTAAATTCATTCTGCCTCACTGATGTTGGGTATAAAGGGATACAGAAGTGCTGTTCCGCTGCCAACGTTGCCCTCCTTCCAAGCTGGAGCATCCTTACAATTTGGAAGAGTGGAGAGAGGTAACAGACCACTGGAACATTTTTGAAGCTTGAATATTTTGTCTTGGACAGATGAAGAACTCCATTTGTCTTCCTACGCAGAAACCAGTTTCTGTTTTGTAGTAAATTACTTTTAGCAAATGGCCTGTTCTGGGGGCTACTTTTTGTTTTGTTTTGGTTTGGGGTTTTTGTTCTCTTTTCTTTTGGTCTTTCGAAGGCCTGTAGTTCTGGGCCCTCCTTGTTCTTTGGAAGTATACAAACCCTGATCAGACAGCTTTGCCTGGTCCTCTCTATGACCTCACTCACAAAGAGAACAGCTGCTTGGGAGCAACCCTTTTGAAATGGCCACTTAAAAGACAAGCTTCATTCAGGCAGTGCTGAAAACAGGAGGATGTGGCGTGAGCACAGACATTTTTAAGCTGCTTTCTAGGACTTTCTTTTCCTCTCCCATGCTGAAGGCCAAACGATGACAGATGGTTGACTACAGCAAATATTATTGTTTTTAGTAGAAGAGGGAAATATATACTTTCCTCACTAATTCTTTATTTATTCCTTGCTAAAGAGATAGTCTCTTGAGGTCCTGAGCTGTTTCCAAGGAGCGGGAGGGTGTCTTGTGTGGGTAGATAGGGCCACTACCATTTTGCCCTGGATGGACTATACCTAACCTGAATTACCTTCTCTGTTCATCTTAGCCACATGGCTGCAGGGCCCCTGAGGTGTGTTGTATTAAATAAATTTGATTTTTACTCTTCATAAATCTGTGAAATGTCATTTTCTTTTTTAAATATTTTATTTATTTTTATTTCATGTGTATGAGTATATTGCCTGCGTACATGTAGATGTACCCATGTCATGCAATGCCTGTGGAGGTCAGAGGGGGTGTTGGATCCCCTGGAACTGGAGTTGTGAAGGGTTGATAGCCACCACGTAGGTACTGGGAATTGAACCCAGGTCCTCTGCAAGAACAATCAGTGCTCTTAATGGCTGAGCCAGATCTCCAACCCCAATGCCATTTTCTGAGACAGGCCACATGCCAATGGAATAACTGTAATCCTTAAGGACTTGGCATGCCTCTGGAGTCACATTACCAAGACTCTTCCTCCATCAGAGAGGCACCAAGCCTCACACAGACCAAGGTCCAGTGGTAGTTGGAGTCTCAGACACCGAGTCATTAGACTCCATGGACTGTCAGGCATGGTGGTGCATGCCTTTAATCCTTGTACTCAAGAGGCAGAGGCAACCAGATCTCTGTGAAATCAAGATCAGCCTGGTCTATATAGTGAGTTCCAGGCCTGCTGTGGTTACAGGGAGGCATGTCTTTAAAAGACAAAAAAAAAAAAAAAAAAAAAAAAAACCAAGAAAAAAAATCCATGGACTTTTGTCTTGGTGTTTCCAGTAAAGAGTCCTGGGCCATTCTGGGCAGATACGGCAGTCAGATTTAGTACAAAAAACAACTAATAGGAATTAAGATATGAATTAATTGTAGATGTTCGGTTCAGTCTGGATTTCACATAAACAACAAATAATTGTTTTAGTTGTAATTATGTTCTATGCAATGTTTAGAATACATGAGTCCTAACTTTTTATTTCACTTATATGACTTCCAAATGGAATTGAGCATCTAGCATTTTATTTGGAAACCCAGCTGGAAGGACAATCAGCCCCTACCCTCCCAGTCCTCAGGACCCATCCTCTGTACCCACCTGTGTCACCTCACTCTCCTTAGTCCCAGTCCTCCATTATAGCGTCTCATTACTGGACACTAAGGTAGAGGGAGTTCTCACTGCCCAGCCTGGCCGGGCCACATGCAAATTACAGAAACCAGCAGGAACTTCTCAACCTCAGGGCTTCGTGTCCTCAAATGAAGAGATTGGAAAGATGGCTGTCAACATTCAAGATTTGATACTCTTTTGAAAGTACTATGAAAGCTAGGGACTGCTCCCCTCACCTCCACACAAAGTTGTATTACAAAAGTGTCACATATTTCCAAGGTTTTAGGGCCATGGATTCATCTTGAAGTCATAGGATTAGAGAAGCTACAGTGCCCTGTAAGTCTGATGTGTCTATGATGTGGTTGATTGGTTTGATTATTATTGTTATTGTTATTGTTTGGTTTGGTTTGGTTTCTTTGAGGCAGTGTCTCATGTAGCCCAGGCTGGCCTCAAACTCACTATGTAGCTGAGGATATCCTTGAACCTCAGATGCTCTTGTCTCTACCTCCTGAGAGCTGGGATTACTGGTACATACCACCACGCCCAGTTTATGTGATGTTGGGGGGTATAATCTAGGGCTTTGTTCATGTTAGACAAGCACTCTACCAACTGAGCCACATCCCCAGCCCCGCCCTCGGTTTTTGAGACCATTTCTCTGTCTGTAACTATGGCTGGCCTGGAACTCACTATGTAGGCAGTCTAGCCTCTGACTTGGGGTGATTCTGACCTGCCTCTGTCACCAGAGAAAGGCCATGGAGCCGTGAAACCAGCCCTGCTGCAACTACTGAGCCCTATTTATGGCACTCATATGAGCTTTAAATTATTCCACCCCCCACCTCTATTTCTGAAGATGAAACCACGCATGCAGAGAGCTTTCTTAGTTGATCTAACTGCTTTAAAAAATTCTTTAAACCCAAAACCCTAACTTCAGCCTTCCTAGCTAGCTAACTAGTGCAGCGGAGTCTAAGCCAAGAGAAGGTGGCCAGAGCATCCAGGCCAGGGGAGGGGCTCGTTGCTTAGAGCGCCCCCTTGTGTCCTCACAGTGTAATCGTTCATTAAAGGACAGCAAACTTGGAATATGTTTATCTTTGACCTACGAGCCTCAAGAGGTCAGCCACCACCTCATGACTACTAGATGCTGATGGCCATCCACATTCACTGACTAACTGAACTCACTCTGAGTTGACCCTCTAGACTGGAGGGTCAAGGTGACTCCAGAGTCAACATGAATTCATTAAAACAATGGTTCTTAGGGCAATTGTGTCTGAACAGTGCCTGGATACATTTTGGGGTGTCACAGCAGGGTGTGGCAGGTAGAAACCAAAGCCCCAGCACTGGAAAAAAAAAAAAAAAAGGTAGCCAGCATCTATCAAAAGTAATAGCCTCCAGAGCTGGAGAGATGGCTAAGTGGTTAAGAACACTAGTTGCTCTTGTAGAGGACCTTCCCAGCATCCACATCAGTAGGCTTATACCTCCCTGGAGCTCCAGGGGATCCAATGCCCTCTTCTTGCCTCTGCAGCCACCTGCCAACATGTGGCCTATATTCATAGACACACATAACTAAATTTTTTTTCTTTTTGAGACAGGGTCTCCCTGTAGCCCGAGCTGTCCTGGAACTCACTATGTAGACCAGGCTGGCCTTGAACTCACAGAGATCTGCCTGCCTCTGCCTCCCAAGTGCTGGAACTACAGGCATGCCCGGCTATAACTAAATTTTTAAAAAATATTTGTTATTTTTATTTTATGTGTGTGAGTGTATTGCCTGCATGTATGTGAGTGCACCCGTGTTGTGCAATGCCTTGGAGATCAGAAGAGGGCTTCGGAATCCCCTGGAACTGGAGTTAAGGACAGTTTGTAGCCATCATGTGGGTGTTGGGAACCGAACCTGGGTCCTCTGCAAGAGCAGTCATTGCTCTTAACCGCTGAGCCATCTCTCTAGCCCCATAGCTAAATATTTTAATTAAAAAATGTTTAAGTTAAGGGGATGGAGAGATGGCTCAGCGGTTAAGAGCACTGGCTACTCTTGCAGAGGACCCAGGTTTGATTTCCAGCACCCATGTAGCAGCTAACAACCATCCATAACTCCAGTTCCAGGGGATCTGATGCCCTCTTCTGACCTCCCCACACATTGCACAACATGAGTGCATTTACATGCATGCAGGCAATACTCGTACACATAAAATAAAAATAATAAAATATTTTTAGAGCCAGGTCAGAGGTGCATGACTATATGGAAATAGAGTCCTACAAGTTCCTGGGACCTTGAAAACCTATAGCAATATTTTCAGCATGCACAAGACCCATGCAAACTCAAGCATACAAAACCCCAGCACAGAACTGTGGAAGTGGGTAATAAAATGTTTAAAAAATTTTTTTAAGTTAAAAAAAATTAAAGGGGAGATGGAGAGATGGCTCAGTAGTTAAGAACACTTGCTGCCTTGCAGAGGACCTGGGTTCAGTTCCCAGCACCCACATGGTGACTAACAACCTCTTAAGCGCTGAGCCATCTCTCTAGCCCCATAGCTAAATATTTTAATTAAAAAATGTTTAAGTTAAGGGGATGGAGAGATGGCTCAGCGGTTAAGAGCACTGGCTACTCTTGCAGAGGACCCTAATCTAACTCCCTCTTCTGGCCTCCTCAGGCACTGTACACACATGGTATACTTACATACATACAGTACATGGTATACTTACTCATATGGTAAAATTAAAATGAATATTTTTTAATAAAGAAAAAATAAAACAAAAAGATAAGAAAAATTTCATAGCCCGAAGTATTCCTAAAGCCTGAATTGTCTCTTCATGTAGATTTCATAATTCAGTAGAAAATGAACCTTTTTAAAACAAATTAACTTAATTTTGACAATAAAAGATAGACATTATCTCCATGTTCAGACAGGATGGAAGGTGCTAGAAAGCAAACAAAACAAAATTCTTAAAGAAAAATAAAAAGTAAGGTAGAGTAAGAGATTGACTACCAAGTGACTATGTTTTAGTATTGGTTTGGTTTCCTTTTGTTTTTGAGACAGGTTCTTCCTGTAGCCCCAGCTAGCTTGGAACTCTCTCATAGACCAGGCTAGTCTGTCTCAGAGATGTGCCTCTTGAGTGCTGGGATTAAGGGCAAGCGCCACCATGTCAGCCTTCAATTGGCTATATAACTCTGGAGATTTCATATGTCTATCTCTGGCAAAAGCAGGTATTTTTGTTTGTTTAACCTAGGACTGCCATAACAAATTACCACAAACTGGATGACGTAAAACAACAAATACCTACTTTCATACAGTCCTGGTTGCCAGACATCTGAAATGAAAGTTTCAGCAATGATGTGCACCCTACAAAGTCTCTGGGCATTGGTGGTGCCCATGGTGACTTATAATCACAGTATTCAGAAGGCTGAGGCAGGACCAGTCTGGGCCATATAGTGAGTACTAAGGCAACCAAAGTATGTAACAAGACTCTGTCTCAAAAAGGAGGAGGGGGAGGAGGGGGAGGGGGAGAGGAGGAAAAAGGCTCCCTCTTGGCATCTCTGGCTTCTGACGGTTGCTGGCAATCTTTGGTGTTTTGACTGGAAGTTGCATCACTCCAATCTCTGCCTCTTGTCATCACATGACATTTTCCATGTACATGAGTCTCTCTTCACATGGCCCAGTTCACTGAATTTAAGTCCTACCCTAAAGCATTATGACTTCATCACAGCCCAATACACCTGTGAATACCCAATTTCCATATATACTTTCATTCTGAGCCTCTAAGTAGACGTGAATTTTAGGAGGACACTAACCCAGTACAAAAATAAATTGCTAAGACAAACACAAATCTTGGCAGTTCTATGTTTCTTTATGTACATAGGAAGGCGGGAAAACGGTGGCTACCTTCAAATATTCTCCAAGGATACGTGAGCTTCTCCCTCTGATGTTCCCTCGCTGTGCTTTCTTCTCTTGGGCCTTGTGTCTCTCCATCTGTGAAGCATCATCGTTGCATTTCTTCTGTTTTGGTTAACTTTCTATTGCTGTAATAAAACACTGACCAAAACCAACTTGGGGAA